CGGCGGTGCCTGGATCGGGGCGGTCGGGGCCGCCCGGGCCATCGGGACCCTGGAGCGGGCGGCAGGGGGCGCCCGCGGCGGGAGGGAAGGGGAAAGAAGGAGAAGGGAAGGTACAGGGGAGGCGGCGGCGAGGACTTACCGCATATCTTGAGGCCGATTTTCCGAGTGCACCCGTGGGCCACGCCGCACCACGTGTCGTATGCTGGAAGAGAAGGCAGAGATGGTCCGTGGTGCGGCGGCCCGGACAGTCCAACCCCGCATCTCCCCCTATTGCCTGACGCCCCCCCCCCGCCACCACTCATGGTCTCAGGGGCTGATACAGGAGTTTCAGAAGAAACCGCCGCTTTCCAGCAGGCTCCAGGTCCCGGGTCAGTGCTTGGCTCACTCGGGGCAGCCGAGGCTCTTTGTCTCTCCGATGACACTGAAGTGACACGTTGGCCCGTCGGGAAGAAAGGGAAAGGCGTCTGGGACCAGAGCATCTAGTAATTTACTGGCGAGCATCCAGGGACGTGGCAGCTTAAAATAAACTGGCATGAAATGGGGTCGCCAAAGAGTTCAGGAATTAATTGGGTGAGAAATAGTATTTGACTAGATGATGGGGCCCGCCTGGCTGAGGCGCAGCCCGGCGGAGGAGCGCGGCGCGTCCTGCCCGTCAGGAGCCCCCCGGGCGGCGCCTTCCCCCGACGGGGTCTCTCGAGAGGGCAGGGGCAGCCGCTGCGGGGGAAGGAATAGGAGCAGGGGCAGCTTTTCACTTGCCTTTCATGTTTTTAACGGCGTTCTTTGTTAATTGCTTTTTTTTTTAATGGATAATATCTCAGCAAAAGGCATCAGCCTATCACTCTCATCCGAAGAAATAAGCTGTTTTTTCGTTATAGTGCTGCCTGTCGCCCCCTCCCCCTATTTTTTCCAGTTGCAGAATAATCACAATAACGACGCCGCTGTTCATGCCTCAGAGCTCCGGCAGTGCTCCCAGGCTAAAAGCCATTCCCCACTTTGCAGTGCCTGACAGCCTTTCATTTCTTGCCGATGCCCCCTCTTTGTCTCTGATACTTTATGGCACCGAGCGTCTTTATTTATATATTTTTGGTAGACGGCTGCCTGACTTGACAAGCCAGGGCTGTAAACCGATTCTCTATCCACCTGCAGCAACCTCTGCTTCTCACTCACACCTCAATAACTCAAGGCAAATTCAGAACAATTAGGAATACAAGGCTTTAAAAGCTACAATTAGCATCCAAATTTCACTTGATTATAGGCTTCAGCTGAAAGGCAGTGGTTTCATTAGCATTTATAAAATGCAAAGGGGGGAACTCACTTTAAGGTGGTGTAAATTCGCCCTTTAACCGATTCGTTTTCTCCACATCGAACCCCCCGATTTTTGACCATCGAGGGGGGAGGGGGGGCTGCTTTGTTGCCACCTCGCTCGGCTGTGGTGGGAGCTGAAGCTGCCGGGGGAGCGTTTCCCCCCGCGCGGGTTTTGCTCCGCTGCAGCTGCTGGGGCCGGGACGGCGGCTTCTTTGTGTGCGGCACCCTGCGCACCTGGGGGGCGGCCCGGCCCGCGTCTCCCTTTTCCTTCGCAAATCGGCCTTTTCCAGCCGAGCTGGAGAAAGTCGCCAAGGGGATTAAAACGAGGAAAACAATAAAACCTACTTGTGGGTCGCAGATTCGTTGGGGTGGGGTCCGGAGCGTCGTTGGAGGATGATGGAGCAGAGGAAGCCATCGCTTCAGAAACGTGACGCTCCTCGGAGCCCGCCTTTCCTCCGACGGGTGCCCCGGAGAGAATTCCCTGCAAGGGAGAAAGGCGGCTTTAGGGTCCGCTCCTTCAGAGGAGCGCCCGGGTCCTCCTTAGATGCCAGGGGGCAGGAGGCTGCAGGCAGCAACGAGCGATTTCAGTCCTGGCGAGGTGGCCGCGGGGGCGCGGCCGCCGGGCTGCAGGCGGGACTGGATCGGGACCGGGCTGGGCCGGGCCGGGCGGCAACAACGAGGAGATGGCGGGACGGGCTGGAGCTGGAGCCACGGAGCTGCCTCCCGCGCAGCGGTGGTCGGCGAAGCGCGGAGCCCAGCGCAATTACATCAATGAGCGGGGCAATTACGCGCCTCGCCTCCAATTGGAACCAATTTACAAAGCGGGCTCTGAAATGAGCAGCGCTGCCGAGCTGAGCCCCCTCCCGCCCCCCATCGCCCAGGGCTGAATCGCGCGCCAGGCGCAGCAGCAAAGGGGAAGAGCGACATTCGCCCCCGCCACGACAAAGGTGCGTTTGTGCCCGCGTCCCAGCACACGCGTGGGCATACGTGTATCTGCACGATCGTGTGTGCAGCAAAACGTCAAAACGCACATGTGTGAGTGTTCAAACGCCCAGCAGGGCTCTCCGGTGCATGTAGCGTTAGCGGCACAAACGCAAGAGGAGAGAGCTCTAGGGAAGATGCCGGACTAGCCCCGCTCCACGCTAGCTGCCCGCTAGGTTCCTGTCGGACACGATATTCCGATAACCCAATTTGGTCGCTGATCGAGAACGATCGGGTCAACGTTCTGGTCCCCTCTTTGTCCCTATGACCGCCTGAGGTTTATTTTATTCGCCTTGTAAAGGAAGTCAAGGTCACGGTAACGAATGAGCCCATTCTTTGTTAGCTGCTCTTCGAAAATCGGTAACTACTTATTCGTTTTCGTTGCTGGGCGGATTTACGCCCGCTTGAAAACGCAACGCATCGAGGATTTCAATGGGAAGCAAGCATCTTACTATTTTTCTTTCTCTCTTAAAAAAATAAACAAATAAATAAAGAAAAAGTATTCCTACGGCAGGAGAGATCCGCCAGACAATGCCTGGAAGTGGAGTAACAGGTTAGCTCCATGTCTAGGCGCTGGCTGTCTCAAAATGCCCGTTCTTCCTCTGTGGTTGTGGCAGGGATCACAATCGATTTTAAGGAAAAAAATATCCAGATCTTCAAAAAACATCTCCCAAAGGCTTGAAAAATAGGATGTGGTTTAGAGGAGACTTACCGAGGGACGAGCGGACCGCTCTTGCTCCCGGCGTCCAAGCAAGCAGGGCGACTCCAGCCGGGAGCGCCTCGCCGTTTATAAGCAGCGCGGGGGACGCCGCCGGAATACCAATGGCGCCGCGGAACTCCGTGCGAGATGACCTTTTTCCCCCCAAGTCCTGGGATTTGCTTTTTTAGAGCGTGCATCGGCGACTGATGTGCTCCGACGCAGGCATGAGTCACAGAGCGGCCCCCCCTCCACGCAGC